CCACGACATGTCAACACTCAACACTGTCCCTTCTCAACCTTGGGTTCCCTATCACCAGATTTCTGTCCCCTTCTGCCTTCTAGTCCTTGTCCCTGAACTGCTGTGCCTCATTAGTCAAACAGGGAATACTTTTGTAATCAGGGAAAAAGTTATTTTTAAAATGGCTTTTGTGTATTGATTTATCTTAGAATGCAAAACCTGCTTTTGTTTTCAGATAGTGTTTCCTTTTTAGGAACAGAAAAACAAGTAGTTTGTGATGTTTGTGTTCAATTTTTGACATGACATATTTGTTATATGACATATTTTGTTGAAGAACTCATTAAAATCACCCTAATCGTGTTTTTACCATTTTCAGAGTTAAAACAATTTAAACTTGGGGAGTAAGTTATTTGCTATACCTGATGGAATCATGTTTTTTATATAGAAGCTGATGGAGAATCATACTGCTTTACTTACGCGTGTGCTCTGTTGAATGACCAGTCATTTCATATTGAAGATATGTGATTTTTTTTTTTTCAGCTTTGGGGGGAAAAATTGGCCTAGTTTATTTTAACTTCTTGCAACCCTGAGCATTGCATATGTCAGTATATTTTCTGCATTAGATTTTGTATTGCTTTTTCTTTCGTGATGATACCTACAAAGGCTGCTGGGCTTATGGATTTCTCTTTCTTATAATTCCATTTGTCATACTTAATGACTTCTCTAAATGTTCATTATGTTATTCACTTGGGAACATCTGGTAAAGGAAATCTCTAGTGAAAGACACTTTCTCTTGGGTATATGTCATTGCTAATACAGAGACTTGTATTGTGTTCTGCCTCAATTCAATTCACAATAAATAGTATTTTTGTAACTAGAATTCATGTTTAAAAGCACTGTAACATTTTAAGGAGTTTAAAGAAAAAGAAGGAAAATAAATTACAAGTTGATCTTTTAGGAGAATTTTGGAGTACAGCTCCTCAGGTCTTTATCACTTTCAGTAAATAAAATTCAGTCTTAAAAATGTACGCATTTCTGAGCCCAGCAGAAGACCTACTTACTTCGTGTAAAATTGAATTCAGTAAAAATCCACCTTAACTTGGATTCTGTCTTAAAACTTATTGTAATAAAATTTGATATTATAGAATTTTATTTTAAGCAAGTTTTAGGAATACTAAAACAAAATAAAGCACATGGTACCTTTTAGTGCTTTTTAAACCTAAACCCATTGATAGTTAATTATAATTTATGAAGGTGAATAAATATTTTCATGTATTAAAGATAAAAAACTGGACACATATATTACCTAATAGGCTTATAGTTTTATCTTTAATACATGAAATAAATAAATACATAAATAAATCCTTCTGTTGATTTTATGGTTCTTTTTTGCTTGTCATCTTTTGCCGTCTCTGCCTCCTGAAAATGTGATAATCTTATTTAATCCAAAATTATATTTTCCTTTGGTTTTAGTTCATTTATAATTGCTTATTTTCCTTGTAGCCTTTTGTATCAATATGATATTACTGTAACCAGTCAAAATAATCCTTTTTTCTTCTTTTATGTATCTGAATCATTTTTTTATTTATTTAAAAATCAGATTTATTTTAAAAATCAGATAAATTTGGGGCCTGAAATTTGGCATCATATATTTTATAATGTGGCATCAATAAGTTGTAGAACATATTTTTGCATTTAAAATTAATATATAAAATGATTTATTAGTCTCTTCATTTAGAACTGATTACTTGATTGTATTCTAGCCTCTATGTGATTTGTGAGGACTTAGGTATCCTCACAAGGGTAACTCTTTTTCCAAGTCATAAGTCTTAAGTTTATCTCCATTAAAGGCTTTCAAATGTATGCAAGGTTCAAAAGACTATTAAAAAAATTACTTGTTCCAGAAATTAACCATATAACTTTGTTTAAAACTCTTTAATCTTTCTGTCTTTTAGCTGCTGGAGGGTTTTTGGGGGTTGTATATGTATGTGTGTATTTAAAAATACTTTCAAACAGGATAAAGAAATTTATTCCAAAATTTTAATAGTAGTTGGATTACCAAACAAGGTAAGACTTAGTACTAAATAAATACTTGTTGACTAATGAATAAATGGGCTGTGCAGTCACATATGCTTTAAAGCAAAGTTAGACAACAACATGATCTGTTACGCTATGTATTCCAGTGATTCTAACCATTTGGAGATGAGGGGACTTCTTGAGACTCGAATGAAGCCATCTCTCTTCCCGGGTAAAATATGTTGTTGTTGTTGTTGTTAGTTGCTGTCAAGTCAGTTCTGACCAGGGCGCCCCCATGTGTGCAGAGTAGAACTACTCCATAGGGTTTTCAAGGCTCCGACTTTTCAGAAGCAGATCGCCAGGCCTGTCTTCCAAAGTGCCTCTGGGTGAATTTGAACCACCAGCCCTTCAGCTAGTAGTCAGGCACTTAACCATTTGTGCCACTCAGATACTCCTCAGTAAAATATACACACACATAAAACTTTATACATTTCAAGGGGCTCATAGACTCAGGTTAAAAGCCAAAACCCGTTGCCACTGAGTCGATTCATAGCGACCCTGTAGGACAGAGTAGAACTGCCGCATACAGTTTCCAAGGAGCACCTGGTGGATTCGAACTGCCCACCTTTTGGTTAGCAGCCGTAGCTTTTAACCACTACACTACCAGGGTTTCCAGACTCAGGTTAACATCCTCTAATAAAAAACAACTTTTCATTAACGCAAGGTGCATATGGAGAGGAGATAACAAATAATCCAGATTCACAGTTAAAACAAACCTATGGTCTGATCTTGTTATCTGGGGACTCAACAGGGATTGTTTCTCCAGGAACCAGGGCTTTAAACCTGTTTGGTCTGGTTCAACCCCCTGCTGAGAATCTGTATTTCCACTCCAGATATATGGGCATACATGAGAATCACCTGGGGATCTTGTTAAAATGTAGATTTTGATTCAGTATATCTGGGGTAGAAATGCAGATTCTCAGCGGGGAGGGGGAGGCGGGTCAAACCGGACCAAACTGGTTCGAATCTCTGCTGGGAACTCAATAAATATCAATCTACTTCATCATTTTTAAGGTCTGCATTTCATTGTATAGCCTTACCGTAATTTAATCGAGTAATATCTATTAATGAATGTTTAGGTTGTTTCCAGTTTTTCACTTTTATAAACAACACTGTGATGCAGATTCTTAAACTGAGTAGCTCTTTTTCGCATTTATTGGACCATCTCCTTGAGTAAGTTCTAGAAGTGGAATTGCTGAGTCATTTGCGTAGATACTACCAAACTGCCCTTCAAAAAGACTGTCCCAATCCACATGCCCACCAGTAAATAGTGCTTGAGTTGATGGCCATCTTCCCACATCCTCCATACCTGAGTGTCAGCAACCTTTTTGTCTTCCCAGTCTTTCATTTTTGTTTGTATATCTTTGCTTTCTAGCAAGATTGGGCATTGCTTCATATGTTTATTGGCCATTTTGTTTCTTCTTTGTGATTTACCTTTTTATACTTTTAGCTGGTTTTTCTGTTACAGGTGTCTGAGTTTTTCCAAAGATCATTGTGTCTTATGTATTATAAATAATTTCCTCCCAGTTCAATTTTTCAGCTTTCAACTTTGTGTTGTATTTTTTGCTGTACAAAAAAAATTGAACTTTTTATGTAGTCTAATTTAATAGTCTTGTCTTTTCTGATATGGTTATCAAGACATGCTTAGAAAAGCCATTCCTATGCAAAGATGATAATTTTCATTTGTATATTATTTTAGATGTTTTATGGTTTGATTTTTTTTTTTTTTTTGCATTAAAACTTTTGACCCACTTGGAATCTATTTCTGTGTAAGAAGTGAAGTGAGGATTTAGCTTTATTTTTTTCCTAAGGATAATAAGAGTTAATATTTAATATATCACTTACTGTGTGCCAGGCACTAGCTAAATATTTCACATATATTAACAACTTTAATCTAAATCAATTCCAAATGGCTAGCCAGTTATCCACAATATTATTTATGGAATAATCTCTCTTTTCCCCACTTGAAAGTACATCTTCATCATATGTTGTTGTTGATAGGTGCCATCGAGATGATTCCAACTTGTAGCGACCCTATAGGACAGAGTAGAGTTGCTCCATAGGGCTTCCAAGGAGTAGCTGGTGGATTCAAACTGCCGAACTTTTGGTTAGCAGCGAGCTCTTAACCACTGTGCCGCTAGGGCTCCATCTTTATCATATACTAAGTCCTTCTATATGTTCAGATCTGCTTTTTATCTTTTCCCTTCCATAGATTAGTGTTTCTCTGAATATAGCACATTGTTTTTACTATTAGATATTTTATTTAAATCATTAAAAAATTTTTCAGAGAATAAGCCAGAGAGGTGAGACTGTTGCATGGATTTTCTTTGAAATACGTGTTAGGATAGACTTTTAATATGTCTAGACAATACAAAATGAATTTCATATTCTTTGAACAGATGGTGGGTAATCACCGTAGTTCAGTAAAGGATTGCTAGATTTAGTGTTCTTAAACATATCTTCCTATCAGGATTATGTAACAGAAGAGTAGTATTAAAAAAATAATATTCTGTATGCTTCTAACTCATAATGTGATTTTATTTTAACATAACAATGAAGACCTGCGTAGGATTGCTTTCAAAATTTTCTCCTTTTAAGCAAAATATAGAAAGAAAGTTATAAATGTTAGAGATAAGACGTATATGAACTAGAAAACTGTAAGCAAAATTTGTGTAGGAATATGTAAAATATTTGTCTTATACACCAGTGCTGTCCAGTACAAATATAATGTGAGCCACAAATGTAATTTTAATTTTCTAGTAGCCACCTTAAAAAAAGTAATAAACAGTTGAAATTAATTTTAATGATGTATTTTCTTTAGTCCAGTATATCCAAATATTATCATTAGAGCATGTAATCAATATAAAAATTATTAATGAGATATTATAAATTAATTTTTCATACTAAGTTTTCAAAATCTGGTATTTTACACTTAAAGCATGTCTCAATTTGGACGCTAGATTTTTACCAGAAATACATAAACTGTGTTTAAATTTCGTAAAACTTTTAGTTGATAAAGTAGATTCACATACCCAAGTTGTTCCAAACATACTGAAAAAGTTTTCCAATAACTGAATCAAACATCAGTTTTTAAGTTTACATTTAGTAAACGAGCTACATTTCAAGTGCTCAGCTGCTAACCAAAAGATCAGTGGTTCAAACCCACTAGCCGTTCCGTGGGAGGAAGATGTGGCAGCCTGCTTCCATAAAGATTACAGTCTTGGAAACCCTGTGGGCAGTTCTACTGTGTCCTATAGGGTCGCTATGAGTCAGAATCGACTTAACAGCAGTGGGTTTTTTTTTCAATAGCCCGTGTGGCTACTCTATTGGACAGCACAGTTATAGACCTTCTAAAGAAATAAAATAAAATATAGACTGTCTCCTACTTTATAACACGTAGCTTACAAATGACTTGGGTACAAATAGGGTCTCTTAAACCTCTGTGGGAACTGAAGCCACTACTCTCTAAGGGAGCAAAAGCTACTCTTACTTGAAGAAGGGGATACTCTTAAAGCATCCCACCAGATCCCCAGTCCCACCCCAAAACACACACAGACATACACAAATGCACTGCCTTTTGGAAGCTGCTGCAACATCACATGATTGAAATATTATCCACATGCATGGAGTTCCTTGGAGTTCCATATTTCTGTATAACACTTGCCTGCAGTTTTCTACAGTTCTCTTTTTTTTAGAGTAGAGGGCAATCTCTGCTTTATGGGGAAGGAGATGGGCACAGAAGGAGGTAGTGGCATCACTAGGGTTGGTGTCACCCAGTGTGGTAACTCATGATGTCACCCCCCATGGACCTCCTCCCATCCCAGACCATACAGAATCCTTAGTAATAATGTTTATTATCAATTTTAATCATAGAGTAATATGTGCTAAATACAGTTGTAAATTGCTTAAATGTAGTATTTCTTAAATTATATGAATACTAACAACAAAATTGATTTGTAAAATCTTTCTACATTGAATTACAACATTATTAGTTACGTTATTTTGAGCAGAAGCCTTTTTTGATTTGTCTCCTTTTCCTTTAATCACTACTTTATTCTCAAATAAGTTATTGATATATGTTCACAATACTAATTGCTACAATATTGTAACTAAAACATCAGAAAATTTGACAAAATCAGCAACTATAAAAACACCAGCAGCAACAAAAACAACAGCGCGTGCAGACAAAACCATGTGATTGAAAGCGTCATTGTTATTGGGTAATAATGACAGCTCTGACCAGAGTACATTAGTAGGTTCAAAAAATAAATATAGCATAGAGTTTTAGCCTTGTAGCTATATTGATACATGTCAGCTGGGCTTACAAAAAATGTTGTTGTTATAATTAATTACAGGGATAGTTTTATAAAAAATAATCAATTTCTACTGAAACACTGCACAAAAATTTTATAGACAGTCATTTGGGTATCACCCCCTCTGACAGTGTCACCTGGGGTAGACCACACCTAGTGATGCCACCGGGGATTGTTTGTTTTTTTCTGGTATCTCTAGCTAGAAATCCTAATATATTTTCCTTCAGAAACAAAGTTATAAAGGGTAATTAAGTTTTGTAGGATTGTAGATCAACTGAGCGTTTGTGGGCTCACCTAGGAATTTCTCATCTATTTATAACTTTGTTTCTATTGTAAAAAAAGCTCCATGTTCTAAACAACAAATGTACAAATGAATTTTGAAATATGACTTCGTTTGTAGGGAACTGGGCAGGGAAGTGGGGGAGGAAGGGGTCAGAGAAAGGGTTATGATTTGCCTGTTGTTTTCATTAGGAGTCCCTGGGTGATGCAAACAGTTGACACAGTCAACTGCTGACTGAAAGACTGGCGGTTTGAGCCACCCAGAGGTGCTTCGAAAGAAAGACCTGGTGATCTACTTCCAAAAAATCAGCCATTGAAAACCCCACGGAACACAGTTCTACTCTTGACACACATGGGGTTGAATTGACTCAATGGCAGCTGGTATTGTTTTTATTACAGAAAAGTACAGTGACCACAATATTGAACTTTTATGCATCAGCCTAAATTGTCTTTTGTCACTTATATGACCTTGCTCTTGACTCTAGAAACTAAAACAACCCATCCTGTTTTAAGTCTAGATCAACTATCAAATCACTTTTAGGCAGGGTTTTTGTTATTTTGCCTCAGTGGTTTTTTGTTT